ACATGGACCGTATTATATTGAAAAACAGCGACAATAAGATAAGGTGTGTTGCACCATGCCAGAGCAAAAACTCCATGCAAGTCCTTATGTGCTACTCTGGCTGTAGGTGGCTCTCAGTTGCCACAATAACCTTACGAGAGAGGCACTTAAGCAAAGAAAACAAAGTCAGTTGATTTTGTTGAAAGTGCATCTGACACGAGCTTGACTCCAGCTGCAGGGGCACAGCTGGTGAGACATGCACACCTGGCCAGAAAGAGAAAGAAGTCAATGTCAAAGGCGACATCTCCCGATTGCACCTAATATTTTTTGATTTTTAAAGATGCGGCAAAAGTCAGAAGACCGAGCTCTATGTTACCAGCAGAAAGAGCTGCCACCAAAACCTTGCAAGAGATGCACTTAAGCAAGGAAAACGCAGCCAGTTGATTTGTTGAAAGTGCATCGGACCCCAGTTTGACTCCAGCTGCAGCTGCACAGCCGGTGAGACATGCGCGTCTGGCCAGAAAGAGAAAGACATTGATGTCAAAGGTGCCTTGTACTGGGTCTTGGCTTTTGTGCACCTTCCGATTGCACATATTTCTTGACTGTCAAAGACTTGAACATCAGAGAAGCGTGCTGGACAACTGCTCAAATGCGGCACAAGTCAGCAGAGGAACCAAGCTCTATGTTACCAGCAGAAAGAGCTGCCGCAATAACCCATTTCTAGACGCCAATTGATTTTGTCGAAAGCGCATCGGACATGAGTTTGACTCCAGCTGCATCGGCAGGACCCAGGACCTGTAGCAAGTCTGGAACTTCATTCAATTGCCTAGGTGGCTTTCATGACTGAAGGCAAACGTTGTTGTCAAGAGTGTGTTGGCTTCAACTGCTCATGTGACTGACCTTCCTTCTGCACAAATTGCTGAACCTTTCATGTCGGCTGTATGCCGCACGGAGCAGTCCTCGGCTTCACACCGAACTACCCAGATGTTCAAATCTTCTTGAGATATACACGCCTGACTCAGCCTGACCACAAAGGAAGATCTTTATCTTGAATCAGGTGCCTTGCATACCACGCTCCAAATCCTGAAGCTCAATAGGTACTTTTGTTACCGTCTGCCTATGCCTGCAGGTGAGCACCGTTTTCTTTCTTTCAAATGAAATACTTTTCACAAAGGTGGAACAAATCAATGAGCCAGTAAGCATGTGTGCAGAGCATTAGATCCTGCAAAAGCTTGCGAAAGAGCCTCATGCAAGCGCCCGATTGTGCTGTAAGATGCAAGCCGCGAAAGCAGATTGCGCCAAGCAACATAATTGTTCATTGCACTGCCAACAAGCGTCGACCCATTCCACCACAAAAGCGTTTGTGGACTAAAGGATCCAAGCGCCGAAGGGTTTGTTTTTGTATTTATAGTAGGCCCCAAACAACGACAAGTTCAGATCGGTTACATCAGAGTAGAGACCTGACTTTGTGCCAGCCACATTCCCATCTTGCTTGCGTGTTTCAGGAGGCCTGTGACTCTCCGCTAGGTGATTTCCGCACCTCAGCCTGTAGCGAACGGTTTTGCAGCATTGCCTTTGCGCCGCAAAGGTGCATTTGATAGATATGAACAGCAGGTCCGAAGGGATTTGCAGGCTGAGTGGAAGTATAGAGGAAAGACGGATTTGAAAGTGTATCAGCAAGATGCACATAGGCTTCTTGGCTTCTTGATACAGAGCCTGTGTTTGCCCTTAGTGGAGGACGATCCATTCAGCACGCACTGAAGCAGTCATCGAATGACAATTGAAAGAGCTTTTTGATAGGCCGGATGCGCCAACCAAGATGTGACCCAGGCTGGTCTTTGTTACTTGGGGCGTTTGTGCACCACCATGAAAGGTGTGGTTTTGGCTGGATGGTAGGTGGAAACGCTTGCGCTTGCACTTGCTTGGATTGTTCTGCTAAGTGCATCCACCTGAAGTCAAGAATTTGCCAATTGACCTTCGTGCCGAGGAGGTCATGGCAAGGGATGTTGAGTGAATCGGATGCCCCGGTTCTTGAGCATCCCTGACGCTAAGGCCCTGCAAACTTTTTGCTGGTCGGTCAACTGCCTTGTGCATGATGCTAGCAGATGTCCAAAGTAAGCGGCGGACCACCCTCGAAGGCAGGGTTGGAGCTCGTGTCGATTTCCCTGCGCAATGCCAAAGAGCATTATGGGATTTGTGGTCTTGACTGCAGTTCGAGTGCAAAGAGCCTTGCTGTGTATGAAGGAAGCTTAGCATTTACTGTATGCTTGAGTTTTCTAAGTCGTGGTTCCAAAAAGCCACCTCAGATGTTTTTCTGTTGCTGCTGCAACGGCCATTCACTCATATATATATATATATAATGGATGTTTAAATCTGTCTTTCCATTTGCGTGCTCAAGGCATGATTGATAGGGTAGTCAAGTTCGCTGAGTCCTTTGCCACCCTTTCCGACCTCTCCTTGAGATTTACTTGTCCCCTCCATTGCAGCTCTTCCTGCTTGCCCTGGCTCTTCCTTGGCATTTGTCTTGGCCTCTTGCTTTCGATCCTTGGATTTGTTCTTCTGGCCTTTTCGGCCCTGAATTTCTTCCGGATCAGCACTTCAACATCTGCTGGAGGTGGACCTGAGGTTTCGGAGGTGTTGGCTCGGCCTCTTCACCTGGTGAGAAGGGCTCGCTTGGCTGAATATCGTGGATGAGCAGGCCTGTGACCCGTGAGGACATTGATCGTCTAGTTCAGGCTGTTGAGCGACTGTCCCTTGCCTTTGAACAAGCGGCTGCAGCGACTTCCTCATCGTCTACATCGGTTACAGTCCCTATCATCACTCAAGCCGGCTGGGAGCTTGTCGAGCCTTCGGTTGTGGTTCCTTGGACTGTGCCAAAGTCTTTCACTGGGGTTGAGGAGGGTGTTCCTACGATCCCGCACTCTTTGCTCGTTTCAGCATCAAGCAAAATCTCATCGGTGGTTGGACAGCCCCAAGAAAGAGTTCATCGAGCCTGGAAGGCTGGGTTTGCTGCGTGGGTGGCCGTTTCGACACACACTGAGTATACCCCCGTGGAGCCTCTGCCTTCTTTGTCGGATACCATTTGGGTGATCCTTCGAGCCCCGTCTCTTAACGGAGCGGTGCGTGTGAGAAGAGTGTCAGAGCTGAGGAGCCTCCTGGCAGTCCTGCCTAGCGGTGATTGTGGTCCAGTTCATCAAGGTTTTCCTTCTTTGACAGAAGTGCAAGTGTTTTGCGCGGCGGCTGGCATTGATACACCTCCCGTGTTTCAATGCAGGTCTCACAAGTGAGGATGGCTTTGAGTGAGGCCGACTTCTCGCTCCTGGTGGTCGGCCTGGACTCTTTGCATGCAGGAGCCCCTTTGGAGGCCTATGGTGTCCCACTCATTCCGAGAGCTGATGGCTTTCTTTTGTGCTTGCCCCATGGCCTTTTTGAAGACGCTATGGTGGTGGAAGGCGAATATCCAGCTGATTTCCCCAGTTGGCTTGGCATTGGATCTATGTTCGAGGTCCCTTTTGTGGAGGAGACGGATGAGGGCAGCGCGATCCCTCTGGGGCTTAGCGGACCTGTCACGGTCATTGATGTGCAATGAGGTCTTGGCTCGATGTCGAGAATATGACCCTGTGACCGACTCAGATTCGCCTATACAGCCTTTTCATGAGACAGCAGTGCAGGCCATTCCGCAGCTGACTTCATTGCTCCCAGCTGTTCAGTCATGGATTACAGAAAGATATGATGGTGGGGCTCCTTTTCATTCGGCTCAAGAAGACCCGGAAGTGAAAGCTCCTCCAGCAGCCAAGGCTGGACAGAAGAAGGCCCCTGCCGTGAAGCGGGTTACAAACGCCAGCATTATGGAGCAGCTGAACATGATAACAAGCCAGATGCAAGTCCTGACCGTACGACAGGATGCTCTCGAGAAGGCTGGCACATTGTCCCCCTCTGCAAAAGGTGTCTCAGAACAGCCAACTGGCAGAGCAGTCAAATTTCCGGCTTTGTCAGACGGCCTGCTTTCAGGGGGTGGACCTCCTTTGTCCGTCCCGAAGATGCTTCAAGTTGTGGGTCCTCCTCCAAAGACGCAGATCCACAAGGTGGCTTCAACCGTGGCTGCAGTTCCTCCCGAAGAGCCGAATGCACTACTTCTTGGGACGGGCGATCATGCCCAAGACTCAGGTCAGATTGTGAATGCTCTCAGTCAGCAATCCACAGCTATAACTGCTCTGGTCGCTCATTTGACCCAGCAGGATCCTCTGGCAGAGTTATCGTCGAGCTCTACGACTACATCTTCAATGAAAGGTGTGTTGAGGAGGGAAAAGCTGCAGGCGGAGCTGGCAGGTCGAACGGGGAACTTCTTCCTCCTTCTGATGCAGCAGGTTCACAAGAAACTCAGGCCGGGAAGACCCCTTCCAAAGTCAGAAGAAGAGCTGGAGACGGTTTCCTTGTTAGAGTATTTGGAGAAGTCGGGGGGCTACCGCAGTCAGAGGAGCTTGGGCCTGGTTCAGTGGATGATCGCTCATGCTGTCGATGCGGCCGCCCACAACGACATGGTGGGCTGTCGCGAGCATCTGGCACTCTTAGCTATGGCGGTGGAACAGGCAAACTACGACAATGGAGACTGGTCCGTCGCCTACCTCATAAGCCTCCTCGAAGAGCCCCCGGTGACGATGTTTCAGGAGAGGACTCTAGCAGTCACTTCTACGAGCAGGCCGTTCTCTCCGCTCATCCCTCCTGCCTGGACGGCGACCACTCTGGGGTATCTGAAGGACTTGGAGGTGCTCTCCAACAAGAAGCCAGATGTGAGAAAGCCCGCTTCTCAGAAGAGTCAGGGGGAGCAAGAAGCATCAAACCCCCCGTCCCCGAAGAGGAAGCCTCGCTTTCCAAGAAGGCCGAAAGCCTCCCCGGATGGGGGGCAGCAGCAGTGATACCGACTCAGTTGTGCATGGAGGGCTCGGCCGCCGAGATGGCTTTTGAAGGTCCTGACCCTATCAGAATTCAGAGGAGACTTTCCCATCGTGCTCCACCAGGTGATGACCATGTTGACAAGCCTGGAGATGATGTTCTCTTTGCTGCTTCAAAGGTCCCACGTTCCTTTACTTTTTGGGATTGGTGTGCTACATTGTCCTCGAACGTTCTGAGGACGCGAACTCCTTTCTCTGCATTTTTGGCTTTTTCTCTCAGATTGCCTCGGAGATCTACTTCTTCGACCCCGCAGCTCTTCCCTGTCCCTGTGCCCTTTCCGGGGGTTTTTGACAGGATGCCGTCTGGACTCTCGCTTCGTTCAAGGAGGAGGATTTTGTTGAAGAGGGCCTTGCATATCATTGTGATGTCATTGAACTTCCTCCATGATGGAATGCGCTCGTTCCCCTGTGAGAGTTTGTTGACGAGATGCCCATCTCCTGCGCACAGGAGTATCTACAAGAAGATTCAGGGCATTTTGGCTGCGGACGGCCCTTGCTGTGGCCCCATCGAGGTTTTAGCGAGTGGCCGACGTTTCCCTCAATTACTTGCACGCCTGAGTGAACTTTCAAGTGTGGTGACGAAGCTTGGTGCTTGTGGTCCTTATGCGCACAGTTTTCAAGGCCACCAAGTACCCCTGGATTCGGATGTCATTCCTGAACTCCGTCCATACCGCTCGCTGGATGCTTCCAGGCTGAAGTTGTCGGGGAGAGGCGAGTTTGATGCAACAGAATTCCTGGACGACGACCTCTGCATGGCCTACCGGTGCCCGGACCTCATTCTCGCAGACCGGATTCCGACTACTGGTTCGTGGCCAGGCACAACAGACGCGTCGGCTGATGTACTTGAGCTGGCAAAGTTGTGGGATGCTCAGGGCTTGCTATTGATTCACCGGGTGCCTCAGAAGCCTTTCTGGTTGACTCGTGTCTTCAACAACTACAAGGACATCACTGTCGATCGCCAAATTGGTGATAGAAGAGGGCGGAATTTCTCTGAGAATAAACTGGCAGGGCCGTCCTCAATGTTGCCGAGCGATGCAGATATTGGTGACCTGTTTTTGGACCCGAGGCGTCAGTGCATCCGGATCTTTTGTACTGATCGAAAGGATTTCTACCACCAGTTCAAGGTCAGCTATGAAAAGGCAGTTGCAAACTCTGTGGGACCCCCACTGTCTCGAAAGTCCTTGGAATCTCTGAATGCCTATGCTGAGTTCATCCGGCGCGAGGCAGCAGCTAAGGGCTTTCGGCGACGTCGTGATTTGCATGGTGACATGCTGCATGATCTTGGCGCCGGGAATGATGGTGAGCAGTCTCCTCCTGGCCTTCTTGTTGATGAGTGTTACATTGCTTTTGGAGCGCTTTTTCAAGGAGACCATGGTGGCGTTGAGTTTGCTACACAAGCCCATGAAAACCTCTTGAAATCGGCTGGCCTTTTGGACGAGGATTCGCGCCTTACAGCTCACCGCCCTTTTTCAGGAGGTCAGTTGCTTGAGGGGTTGGTCATTGATGATTATTTTGCACTGTCAGTTGAGAGTAGAAAGACCCCTCCAGATGCAAGTCGCGCAGCTTCCTGTTTTGCAAAAAGCCAAGAGGTATACCGGAAGAACAAGATCCTGGGTTCTCCCCACAAGGATGTCTGTGGCGAAGTCAGAAGTAAGGTCATCGGGGCAGAGCTGAACTCAGGTCCTTGTGCAGCTGCTCAAGGCGTTGCAACTTGTGGGGCTCCTATTGCAAAGAGACACAGTTTGAGTTCCACTACTCTGCAACTGGCTCAGCTCTCGCATACTTCTGATGCCCTTCATCTTTGCATTGTTGGGGCTTGGACTTCGGTAATGCTCTACAGGAGGCCTTTGATGGGGATCTTTTCAGCTGTCCATAGAGTTGTTGAGGCCGCTGATGTTGACGCAGCTCATCCTCGGCTTGTGCCTCTATCACGACAGGTGGCAAATGAGTTGACAATTGCTGCGGTTCTGGCTCCTTTGGCTGTCTCCAACCTGGCAGCCGTTTTTGAGGATACAATCTTCTCCACTGACGCTTCCGATACTCATGGTGCTATCACATCTGCACTCCTGCCTGAAGAGTTTGTCGGACATTTTTGGAGGGCTTGCAAATCAAAAGGTGCCTACAGTCGGCTGAAGACTCCCTTGGAGATGGTGCTGTTGAGGCTTGGCATTTCCGAAGAAGGCTTAGAGGAGGAGGATGAGCGCCAGCTTGCTCTAAGTGCTCACGTATCTCCTGAAAGGCCGAGAGCTTTTGAGTTTGACTTCATCGAGGTCTATGCGGGGTCAGCACGAGTGTCAAAAGCAGCTCAGCAGCTAGGCTTGGTGGTGGGGCTCCGATTGACATCTCTTTCAGCGGGGAGCTTGATCTGTGCCTTACCAGAGTCTTTGCCTGGATCACCCACATGTTGGTGAACTACCAGCTCAAGAGTGTGATGGTTGAACCAGTCTGCACCTCTTTTTCCTTGATGAGGAGGCCACCTCTGAGGTCGAGAGAAGTGCCCTATGGTTTTGACCCCTCCTGCATGCAGACAAGAGTTGGAAACGTTTTGGCGCTGCGAGCAATAGCTATCCTATCTCTCTGTCACCGTCTTCTCCTACCAGGACTTCTGGAGCAGCCTTGGATGGGCATGATGCGCTATCTTGCCCCTTGGATAGCTTTAGAGGCAAAAGAAGATGTTAGTGTGAGGAGGTGCGACTCCTGCGCTTTTGGATCTCCACACTTGAAAAGTTTCAGAATGATGGCCGTCCATATGGATACTACAAGATTGGCAAGGCGATGCTCTCGCGACCACAACCATGTGATTGTTGAGGGCAAGTATACAAAGGCCTCTGCTTCTTATACTGAAGAGTTAGCAATGGAGATTGCTTGCTGCTTTCGGGAAGCCATCCTTGCACGTGAGACCCAGTTGGATGAGCACTTCAACTCCATCCACGTCCGGGGCCTTGAGAATCAGTTTACAAACCTATGTGCCACTACTCTGCAGTGGAAGGAGGAGGATGCCTGGGCTTTCGCAAACAGAAGGCATATAAATCTGCTCGAGATGTCCTCTCTCCTACGACTTGCTGAGAAGAAGGCTAGAGCACCTACGTCGTTGAGGGTTGTGAACCTTGTTGATTCAAATGTCATCAGATGTGCAGCGGCAAAGGGTAGATCTTCCTCAGAGGCTTTGTCTACCTTGCTCCTGAAGTACAATGCCGCTTGTCTGGCAGGGGACCTTTACTTCACGCTGCCCTTCGTCCCTACGAGGTTTAACACTTCGGACGATCCTACGAGGGGGAGAAATGTCAGGACACCTTCATCGAAGATCCCGCTCTCAGAAGCAACAGACGCGCAGGTGCGAGCACTTCTGAATCTTCCGCCGTTGAGGCGATGGGCTTCGAACTGGGTCAGATTTTCTCTTGGGCTTTGTGGATTTACTCTGCTTGCCTCATGCTCTTCAGATCGGCGGCGCCATGCAATCTTTTGGTCATCAAAGGGCAGCTTGCCTTACGGTCTTCGGCATCGCTTGAACAGTGCCTCGTGCTCGATTGATTTCGACTCCAGTCTTGGATTTCCAGGTGAGGGCCCTACCAGAGGCCCGTCCTTCCTCCCTTTCTTCCGCCTTTGGCTTTTCCTTTTTTGCTCCTCCCCTTCCTTCTCGCTCAGCGGACTTAGGGTAGTTGGGGCGATGGAGAGCCATGGAATGCTAGGTCCGAGGACACCTGGTGACTGGAAGAGGGCCCAGCTTCGGGTGAACAGGCCACCACTGCCGAAAGGGAGGCCCGTGACTGACGTGACTAGCAAGAACCGCGAGCGGCTCCTACAGAGTTTCTTGGAATGGTGTGAATTTGCTGGCTTTGCGATGAAGCCCATTCTGGATGAACCTGCCCTCTTTGTCGAGAAGATTAACGAGATTCTTTTGGCATATGGCAGAAGACTCTATGAGGCCGGAAAGACGTACTCGCATTATGTCGAAACCATCAACAGTGTTGCTAGCTTTAAACCTATTTGGAGACGTCAGTTACAAGCTTCCTGGGATATGGCTTTTAGTTGGGTTCGTGAAGAAAGACCTGTTCACCATATAGCAATGCCTTTCCAAATACTTTTGGCCATGCTGTCTATAGCGCTTTCGTGGGGATGGTTGAACGTAGCCGGATTGTTAGCCCTGGGGTGGGGCGCACTTTTGCGAACGAGCGAAATGACCCATGCTCTTCGCAGTGATCTCCTTCTGCCCAGTGACACCTTTTTCTCCAACCGTTATGCTTTGCTGGCCTTGAGAGAGCCTAAGACACGTTTTGTGTCGGCAAGACATCAATCGGCGAAATTGGACATCCCGGACCTTTTATCTCTTGTTGAGACAGCTTTTCAACAGTTGGAAGGCCACCAGAGATTGTGGCCTTTTTCAGACCAGACGCTCAGACATAGGTTTTCTGATATACTTAAAGTGCTTCATTTGGATGCAGCGTCCATTCGATGTCCCAAGACATTGGACTTAGGGTCGCTAAGACCCGGTGGAGCCACATGGATGATGCACACTTGTGAAGATTCTGAACTAGTCAGACGTCGGGGCAGATGGCTGAACCAACGGGTGATGGAAATATATATACAAGAGATTTCAAGTATGCAGCTGCTTATACATTTGTCCAAAAGCCAACGTGACCTTGTTTTCAACATTGCTGCTACTTTCCCCTCGGTCCTGGAGAAGATCACGGTTTTCCAAAGGGCTCATATTCCGACGAAAGCGTGGTTTGCCCTGCTCAGGAGCTCGGAGCCTTGACGCTGGAAAGACGGGTGGCTGCTCTTCGAGAAGTTGTTTGAAGGGGGATAGTTGGGCCAAGATGCCGTGATGGCTAGCCTGTGGAACCCTTCA